GGTGCGCTATTTGCTAGCTGGGGCCTACGCTCTCACGGGCGAGCAGGGAAGGAGCACGCAGCCATAGCCRAGCTGCACTGCTGTAAGCTGGGTGAAGCGCAGGGTGGTCCTTGGGTGCTAGTGGCATCTGTGCGTTGGGGAACGAGGTTGTGAGTGTGGCGAGAGACATACCTRGTGCTGGAAGCGGGCGACATTGGTCGCCATATGCTCGTACTTCGGGAAAGYTGTTGACGTCATCTTTCGGCATCGTAGTATAGGTTAGATAGGATCTGCCACATGTAGTCTGGGCGCCGAGCGCCAGATAGGATATCAACTCYGGTTCTTCGTTGATGATGATGGGACTATTTCAGCATTGTCAATTATGAACTCTTGGTGTGTTCTTATTTGGTGAATCTCGTGATGCAATTCTGCTGTTGGTTCGAGGTNATCTCGTGATGCAATTCTGCTGTTGGTTCGAGGTCACGACTATCTGGACTCGTATGTATGATGCTGTGTGATTGTTGAAGTTCGCTATTGCTCATCTTTCTTGCAATTTGGTATCGGAGCTGTGGTACGWTTACGCTCATCTGGCGCTTGTCTTCTGCCTTATACGGTACATACATGCGGTCTGCTGGGAGAGTTTGGCCGTAAGTGGTGTGTAGTGAGGAGGGCGGAGGCGAGTGAGTGGCGACCCAGGAGGTGAGGGGATCGCCAGGAAGGCTACGTGGGGTTAATGTGGTCTGGACAGTGTGATGAGAACTATCTATGTGCGATTGATGCTGAGGTGGAACGACGAGATAATGCTGGTTGTGCCAATGCAGTGACTGGTCATTGCAATCGCCATCAGGTCATCTGGTGAGATTATCTCTGTGGTTGGGGGCAGCTATTTGAGGTACGTTGCTCTTAACCTTATCTACCCGCTCCGACACTTCTTACCGTGAGGTTGTGTGTTCCTAATTGAGAGTCCTCTAATTGTGAGGTGTCGAGTGCGCTCAACCTTGAGAGTCGGGAATGTTCACGTGGAGCATCTAGGAGAAGATGGGCGGAGCTTTCTGAAGGGCCCTGGACGAAGCATTGGGTCACGGTCACCATGCCAACCCACAGGGAGTAGAGCACGCATGCCTTGCTGCTTGTCCTTTGTTCGGCTTGCTGCGCTGTTAGATGGGTACTGTTGGGCAGGCCAACCCTTGAGGGAGACGAGACCGGGCGTCTTTAAATAAGCACCGAAAGGGGAACCATTGGCTGTGATCGTCGTCCGACTGCGACGTAAAAGAATTCCTGGAGTCACTTGGGGGCGGACGTTAAATTGCCTCTGGATCAGCCAATGGTTGTAAGGCTCGCTGCACGCGAGGATAATCCAGTGCAGGGCTGGCCAGCTCATCAGATACTCGGGGCACAGGGGTGGGCCGGACACACACCTTTAGACACGCGACGTCTCCAGATTGCTCAGGGACGCTGACGTCAAGTGATACTCAGGGGAACTAAGGGAGGGGTAAATTCCTGTTGATAAGTTCAAGAAAATTCCATGCTGTCCTATCCACACAAATAATTCTATTTTTATTTTTTGATTAGTTAGGTGTACAGCCATTGACATCTGACAGACATCATTAGTTAGTCACATGTTGACCCGAATGTAAAGTCTCCAAAATAGCCACCAGTCGATTGGTATGTGCACTACGTTGCGGTAGGCACCTAGAGTGCATTAGTGCAGATTGTGTACAGGGCTGTAGCTTATGAGTGATAGGGAGGACCAGCTACCAGATGATCGGATCTTGCGATCGGCAAGGCGCCCAGTAGCCCATTTGGCATTAGGACCGGAGGGCGACATACATATGTTCCACCAGCTTAGGGAGAGGCAGCAGCAACAGAGGAGGGCTAGCGCAGCAGAGGCTAGCAGGGCTCTAGTGAGTGAAGTCGCAGCTTCAGAAGCCATGGCCACCTCAGCACAGCAGTCTACTCAAGCTGGTAGTTCAGGATCTGTTGGGTCAACAGTCGCGCAAACCCAGAGTCAGTCCACTGGTGTAATGGTGAGCCAGGCAATAGTGTTAACTCCCGATGAGATCGCCATACAACAAGCAGCATTTCAGGAGGCACAACTACAGAAGGCGTTAGGAGATATAAAAGCGGAGAAAGAAAGGATGATCAGAAGAAGAGCCAGGATGCAACGTAGACAAGTGGACGTTAGTGAGTTAGAGGAGATGGACCTGACGAACGTGACTGATGATGTGAGACTCGTACGGTCTGTTCTGTTGAATGTAGTTGAGATGCAGGACCATCAGACAACCATCCTGCAGGACATCCAGTAAAGTTTGGCCCTGTTGGTTGGGCGAACGCAGGCAACGTCGCCAATGTCCGGGCCTGGTGCCTGGCCCGTTGTACATCCTCCTCCTTATGTCCCACCGGTGACTGGGGTATCCCCAAATGTTGCTCCATCATCGGTAGCGATCGTTTCCCTGGGCATGGCGATGTCGGGAGGGGTATCAGCAGGGACTAGTTTGCAGGTTCCTGTTAAGACAGTGTTCACCCAAACTCCGTTGGAGGTTGCAGTCACCACGCAGCCTGCTGTCTCGCAGCCTGTGCAGCCGCAGGGCACACACCCCCTGCAGCTAGCACAACAACCTGTGTCACAGGGTCCACAGCCCGTTGTGATGCAGGGACCGGGACAAACAGAGTGGGTTCCAAAGAGGGCCATCGCCGCTCCGAAACCCTTCACAGGGACAAGAGAGGCGAAGACCTCGACACATGTTTGAGGTCAGTGCCAGTCTATGTCAGGTGTAAACTTACCTTGCCGCACGAAGAAGTGCTTGTGGCTGCTTCCTACCTAGAAGGTAGTGCAGCAAGATGGTTGAGTGGTTTAGTGCAGCTCCAGGGGTATGGTCATGACTTCCGCGCTTGGGCGGTCACCCAAAAGTTGGAGGACTTCCTGAAGATGGTGGAGGAGAGGTGGCACGATCCTTAGGAGGCCCAAAGGGCCACTGACGAGATCCTGACATTGCACACAAGGCAGTTTAAGTTAGTTAGGGAAGCCACCGACGCTGTTGAGCGTTTGATCTGTGTCCCTGCGGTGCGCTATGACCCCCAGGTTCTGCTTACATCGTAATTGAGATGCTTTTCTCAGCCTCTCAGGAACCAGTTGGCAAGTCAGGCCAACATCAATATGCACAACTTCCCTTCGTTCAGCAAGATGGCCCTAGACCTTGAGGCTAAGATAGGGCATGGACAGGCACCCACTACGGATGGGAGGAAGAAGACGTTGCCTCCTAACTGGAAGGCGAAGGGCCACATTATATTTGTCGACAACGATGGTTCAACCATCGAGTTAGACGAACACTTCCAGGAAAGAGTAGGTTCAGAGGCAGGCAACACAGAAGATTCAGAGGGTGAAGTAGTCGCTGCCGTTGCTCAGAAAGGTGAGGCGACCGGTAGACGCCGCGGAGGCTCCCGGTCAAGGAGTCAAGTTGACCCGAACGCTCCTCCATGGGAGAAAGCGGGTCTCACTGAGTACATGTGGAGAGATCGGTACTCACGGTAGGCCTGTATTCGTTGTGGTCAATACGGCCATAGTCAGTACAAGTGCCGCAATAAGAAGGTAACCGAAAAGATCCCGCCTACGGGGCAGGTGTTGGGATCCTCTCACCCCGTTGGTAGCAATGTTGCCAGTACTTCTGGCAGTGCTCTGGGAAACACGTCGGGCCAGTACGAATAGTAGCTGTTCCTGCTAGGGTCGAGGTGGTGGAGCCACCCTCACCATCTCGAGAGATGGCCCAAGCTACTGACTCCAGCGTCGTCCCGCAAACACATTCAGACCCGTCGAGCCTCTGTTCGATGAATGTGTTCGAGTCCCTCGAGGAGCTAGAGGCGGAGTGGTCTAGATCTGACCCGCTAGCTTCTTGGACGGCCCTAGTCAAAGCCCCTAAGGGTGAGATGTTCGTCAGCGAGGTTGTCATTGGCGGCCGCAAGGCCGGGGCCTATTATGACACTTGCTCGACAAGGAACTTTATTAGTCGCGCGTGCGTTCAGAGGCTGCGTTTACAGGGGCGAGTGCAGCGCCTGAGTTGACCTGTGGAGTCGACCTGTGCCAACAAACAGCGCATGGTAGTGAATGACTACCTCCAGGATGTTGAGTGCTGTTTCCCGTACGCGGGGAGGGGACTTGAGACATCGTGTCTCGTTCCTAGTGAGCGATGAACTTCCCATGGACTTGTTGTTAGGTATGTACTACCTATCTGTGGCACAACCCCAGTTTGACTGGGACCGAAAAGTGGTAAAACACACTTTGCCAGGTGGAGGGACCGCCAGATTGCACAAGTTCAAAGCTAGTAGTCTGATCGAGTCCCATGGATGCATGTGTGCAGCCGCGTTCTATACCTATTATAAGCAAAATCAGGAGGGTATGTACTTCGTTTATGTCTCTGCTGCAGGCGAGCCGGTGAAAATGCCGTCGGAGATAGAGGGAGTAGTTGCCAAGTACCCTGATCTATTTGAAGAGCCAACAGGGGTTGTAGAGAGGGAGGTCGTCCACGCGATAGAGAGCCCCTACCGCGCATCGATGATCTGTTAGATAGAGTGCAAGGGTGTCGGTACTTCAGTAAGATAGATCTGAAGTCCGGGTACCATCAGATTGCAATCCGGCCCGAGGATCGGCCCAAAACCGCTTTTCAGACCAGGTACGGTCTGTTAGAGTTTGTGGTGATGCCTTTTGGCCTTTGCAATGCTCCTGGCACCTTTCAGCACGCTATGAATCAAATATTCCATGACTACTTAGATAAGTTTGTCATCGTGTACCTCGATGACATACTTATTTTTAGTAAGACTGTTGAGGAGCACGTTGCACATTTGGACAAAGTCCTCAGTCTCTTGCGACAACACAAGTTCAAGATCAACGGTGAGAAGTGCGAGTTTGGCCGCACCCGTGTCTTGTACTTGGGTCATGAGATATCCGCGGAAGGGTTGAAGCCCGATGACGCGAAGGTGGCCAGCATTCGTGATTGACCGCGTCCTCAGTCTGTGACTGATATGAGATCATTCTTAGGGATGACTGGCTGCTATCGCAACTTTGTGGAGAACTATAGCATAGTTGCCGCCCCCTTGACTGATCTGACTCGCCTTGACACCCCATGGGAGTGGACTGAGAGATACGAGGCTGCTTTCAAACATCTGAAGCATGCGTTGACACATTACGAAGTCTTGAAACTTCCTGATCATGATAAGCCGTTTATAGTAACTACGGATGCTAGCCAATATGGCATAGGCGCCGTACTTGCACAACTGGAGGGGAAAAAGTTGAGGCCAGTAGAGTACATATCTAAAAAGATGCGCTCTCAGAAGTTGGCTAAGTCCACCTATGAGAAGGAACTTTATGCGGTGTACAAGGCTCTGACCCATTGGAGGCACTACCTCCTTGGGAGGTTCTTCATCCTTAGGACTAATCATCAGACCCTGAGATGGATGAGAACACAGCCGGTACTCTCTGATGCTCTCAAGCGTTGGATCGAAGTCATTGAGCAGTATGACTTGGAGCCCCAGTACATCAAGGGCGAGTACAATAAGGTTGCTGATGCCCTGTCGCGCAGACCAGACTTCTCGGGTGCGCTGATCACTGAATTTGGGCTTGAGGACACTGTTACTCAGTCTTTGGTGGAAGCCTATCACGAGGACCAGTTTATGTCCGAGATCATACGCAGATTCCAGGCGAAGGACAAGAAGACCTCTGCCGAGTTTGAATTGGTCAATGGCTTGCTGTTCCTTGAGAAGGCAGGGAATAAACGATTGTGTGTCACTAATAGCGAGTCTTTGCGTAGTTTATTTTTAGGTGAGTGTCACGACGCCACCGACCATTTTGGGTACAAGAAGACCGCAGTTAATCTGCGGCAGCGGTTTTGGTGGCCCACGATGATGCGAGACGCCCAGCTGTACGTGGAGACTTGTCAGGTATGTCAAAGAGACAAGCCCCGTACTCAGGCTCCTCTTGGGCTCCTGAAGCCCCTTCCGATTTTGGAACAGCTTGGTGAGAGTCTGTCCATGGACTTCGTGGACACTCTGGTCACCAGCAAGAGTGGGATGCGACATATCTTTGTCATCGTGGATAGGTTTAGCAAGTATGCTAGGTTAGTGGCAATGCCAGAAACAACAAGAACGGAGTATGTGATTAGAATGTTCAAGGAAAACTGGGTCAGGGACTTTGGTTTACCGAGTCTATTATTAGTGACAAGGATGTCCGGTTTACCAGTGAGTTGTGGAAGGCCGTTGCTGCAGAGCAGGGAACTCAGTTGCAGATGACTTCTGGGAATCACCCAGAGGCCAACGGTCAGGCCGAGCAACTGAACCGCGCAGTACAACACCTGTTGAGGCATTACATCAAGCCCAACCAAGTGGAATGGGATGAGAAGCTTGCTCTCATCGCCAGCTTGTACAATAACGCTGTACACAGCGCCACCGGGGTGAGCCCAAACAGCTTACTACTAACTTTCAAGCCTAGACCGGCCTTAGACTTTCTTCTTCCCGAGAATCAGACCACTGCTGCACCAGGTACCTTAGAATTCGCTTATTGGTATGAACAAAAGATGCAGCGGGCTGTAGAACAGATGCAGAAGGCACAGACTGCAGAGGTAGAGTCTGAAAATAGACACCGTCGTCCTTCTACGTTTCAGGTTGGGGACATAGTCTGGGTTAAGTCTTCAGAACTGGGATGGAGCACGGGATTTCCCGCAAACTCATGCCCCAGTACTTTGGACCCTGGGAAGTCTTGGACATCGTTGGGAAAGATCCGGATGGACCATCTTATGTTATCCGGATCCCCGGTCACCTCCGAACTTACCCCGTCTTTCACGCCTCCAAGCTTGCACCTTTAAAGGAAACAAATGAGTTTCCTTCTCGTCGCTCAATGCGGCCCCCAACCATGGATGGCGAAGTGGACATCGATGACATTGTGGATCACAGGGAGCTGCCAGCTTAGAGACCTGCAGGAAGGGGACATCCTCCGAAACCGAAGCTGCAGTATCGCGTTCGGTTTAGACATCATACTGATCCCAAGGAGGACCGTTGGTTCACAAGGGAAGAACTCATGCAGACCGCTCTTCAAGTTGTAGCCAGTTATGAGAAATCTCTGCAGAAGGGAAAGCGCCCCATGATTGAAGACTGAGCTTCTCATAGGACTGTTGAAGCTAAGGAGGAGGGAATGCGAGGCCACTGCCTCTATGAGCCCCATAAGGCCCCATTTTGCAGCCCGTCGGCTGCCCTAAGTGAAGGCAGGCTCGACGAGGCCCTCATGGCCCTATTCTGGCCTCCACGCAACTCAAGGAAATTCAGGCAGTTGCGCAGTGCCAGTTGGTTGAGTGAACCCAGGTCCTGGGCCGCCTTTGTGAATGTATGTGAAGCAGGCTCTGGGCTGGATACGGGTACTGGGCCAAACACAGGCCAAAGGCAGTTGGGCACATGCAACCACCTCAGGCCCAAGGCCTGTTTTCGTCGTGTTGGGCCTCAGGTTACCGGGGCCTTCTGGAAGCTTCCTGGGACTGCACGCAGGTAGGCCACTTTGATATAGCAAAGGGTCTGCCTCCATATTGGGCATTCGGGTGCTGGTTGCATGCTGCGCAAGCGCTGCTGCGCTATTTGCTGGTTGGCGCCTACGCTCTCACGGGCGAGCAAGGAAGAAGCACGCAGCCATAGCCGAGCTGCGCTGCTGTAAACTGGGTGACGCGCAGGGTGGTCCTTGGGTGCTAGTGGCATCTGTGCGTTGGGGAACGAGGTTGTGAGTGTGGCGAGAGACATACCTGGTGCTGGAAGCGTGCGACATTGGTCGCCATATGCTCGTACTTCGGGAATGTTGTTGACGTCATCTTTCGGCATCGTAGTATATGGGCTCCGAGCGCCAGATAGGATATCAACTCTGGTTCTTCGTTGATGATGATGGGACTATTTCAACATTGTCAATTATGAACTCTCGGTGTGTTCTTATTTGGTGAATCTCGTGATGCAATTCTACTGTTGGTTCGAGGTCAAGACTATCTGGACTCATATGTATGATGTTGTTTGATTGCTGAAGTTCCCTATTGCTCATCTTCCTTGCATCAGTCATATGTGGCCTTAAAAGACTAAGATGCAGAAAGTTATGTATAACTTGGATATTTTAAATAGTTCAGGGCAACTAGGTTGGAAGGCCTAGTCACATGCCCGACGAAGAGAAAAGTTGCGGTGCGTTGTATTTGTGTATATACAATGGCTGAGCTACACAGGTATAAGTTTGGATGGTCTAGCTTTACGCGTCATGTAAGTTGGGTTTAAGGGACAAATCATTGAAAAACTATGAACTATTGTTTGACAAGGTTTAACCTTGGCGCTGGTGAGAGTACTTACCATTGTGGGTTGGCATTGCATGTGGCTGAGTGAGATCACTACTTAGTCAAAGTTTCAGTTTGATAGGTAGTTGCTTTAGTTGCTCGCCACGTGCTAGAGCTATAGGATTTAGTTTAAATTTTTGCATTTTCTGAGCTAACTTTTTTTATTTTTTGCATAGTTTAAATTTTTGCATTTTTTGAGCTAACGTTTTTTGCTTAGGTAAATTAGGTTAATTCTCGTATTTTCTGGATCCTTTATTATACTTGGCTTTGTATAAATCTTAGTTGCTTTCCTATGGGAAGTGCTGCTGAAATTTCTACAAATCCAAGGAGTTAGTCAAATCTGACTTTCAAAGTTCAACTTTTTGTCTAAAGTTTGTGTCCGACATAGTAAGAATATGGAAGGCCTTTTTTTTTAGGGGAAGTGATGCGCAAATTTTTACTAATTCAAGGAATTAGACAAAATTTGATCTTGGAAAGTCAAAATTATTTCATATTTAATATTTAGCTTTGTATAAATTTTGGAAAGCTACTTCTCCTACGGGAAGCGCTACCGAAATTTCTACAAATCTGAAGAGTTAGTTAAATTTTGTCTTGCATATCTGAGTCAGTATAAATTTGGGAAGTCTACTTCGCTAAAGGAGATGTTGCCCAAATTTTTATTGATTCAAGGAGTTAAACAAAATTCGACTTTCTAGAGTTGGTGATTATTTCAGTTTTCATATTGGAGCCAGTATAAATTTTGAGAAGGCGCTTTTCCTACGGGAAGCGCTGTCGAAGTTTCAAGGAGATAAATTATATTTTGACAGGTGGCAATTCTGGCAATCCACCCTGCATAGGGGAGATTCTGTCATAGGTTTACCTTTTCTTGGACACTGACTTAGAGATAAACTTGGACTTAGTTAGCTGGAGAATCGTGAGCTAAAGTGTGTTATGGAGATTTATTCCCCGTACACTGATAGTTAGCCTTGGGCATTGACCTGGCATGTGTTACAGGTCCTCTTGATCGTTTCGATTCAGGATTGGGACTAGATTCAACTTGATCCTACGAGGATAATCTTTTGTTATCACTGATAGCAGGTCGGTTGCCGATTCGTCGGTTCACGATTCAACTTCAATTCACTCTCGCCAACTCAACCTAAAGGTTTTAACCCTATGGCCTGAATTATTTCATTTGGGTTTTTACCCGGACTTTATTGAATGGTCATTTAACAAAGAAACTGAGTGCGTTTATTTATGGAAGGTTGGACAAAGGTTGGGGCTTGTATGGCTAAAGCAAGGGGTATGAGCACAGAAAACGGTTAAAGTTGACCCCGTGTAGTGCGTGGACTTTTGGTTGAATCTTTGATGTGATTGCAGTGTTTGTGGTTTGGAATCTGGATGTGATTGCCCGCGATTACATACATATATGGTTGAGAGGAGTCCCACTTTGATTGTGAGAAGCGATCGTCACATATTTATAACGTTTTATATATGTATATGTTTATATATATGGCTACTATCCGGACATCCGGATAGGCGTCCAGACGGTCTGTTGTCTCGTGTCTGGACGTTGGACCGTAGGAAGCCCGTCCGGAAGGGGCCAAAACCCCGAAATTCAAAAAAAAAATGGGGCACCCTAGACTTGTTCCTTGGGTCCGGGGCGCCCGCTGAAAAATGTTTCTATGATTTTTGGGGCCGGTATCAGCCGTACAGGGCGGCCGGACCAACCCCTTTTCTATTTGCATCCTGGGCAAACTGTTGGAGGCAGAGCACAGTTCCCGAGTGACAAAGGGAAGAAAGGGCGGATTTAGGCACTTCAGAGTGCTTTCTCGCGCACCCGTCGCCGTCACACACACACACACACACAGAGGGAGAGGGAGAGAGAG